CTCTTTACCTGAATCTCTGAGTTCTCTTCCCTGCAGCATGTTATTATTAAACATTGGTGCGGGTGTAGTCATAGATCTGTGAATGGAAAACTACAAGACCCATCTGCCACCATGGCAGAGGGATTTGCTGAGGTCTCTGCAGTTGTAGTCCATTGATTACTTCCTCCAGCCGCATACATCCGTATGTGCTCAAGGCTGAAAAGATAGTCTGCAGGAGCCTGTGCATTGCGCCTTATCCATTGATTGCTGTTGCAATGCTTTGCAGGTGCCAATACAGAAATTAATAAATGTACATTTTTGTTATTTTAAATTATGTGGGAGTATTTTCTTTTCTTCTTTTTTTTTTTGTGCAAAAGGTGGACTGTGCCTTTTTAATTTCAGTAAAAGTAACCCTCTGATTATGACTGTAAAAGGACCGACATAGCCATTTCTTGCCAAATGTGCAAAGTGTTCAAATAGTTTTGTTTTTTTCTTCCAACTATTCCCCTCCACTTCTGCACACACCAACATCCAATGGGTAAGAAATTGCTGAGTTGTTATTCTGAGAATGTAGCAGGATGCTATGTCCTGTAGTGTAATGCCCTTCGTGCATGTAATAACTGACATTTACAGTAATTTGTTCAGTAATAAGATAACCGTGAGAATAGAGTGCATCCTGCAGATACTTTAGGAATATAGACCCTTTCCTGTTGCTCAAGCCCTAAGCAGATTGTGATAAAAAGCTCCATGTTACTTTTACTGAAGCAGCATGTTCTTCTTGCTGCTCTATTCCTCCTTCTGGTTTCCGGTTGTTTGCATCTGTCAGTGGTGTGGTCACTAGATGTCTCACTTCCTGCATGTTAAGCAATGTTCCAAATGCAGAATAGGTCAACAAGGGATCATTTTCCTATACAACTGCCAGAGAAAATAAAATAAAGTTTGTATCTTGCTGGTGCCGCTCAATGTACAATGTGCTTTGACCATACTAGGAGTGGAAGTGGTTGTTTCTGTAATTATCCTTTTTGTTGCATTGTAGGACCAAGATGGGCCTCTTGGAATATTGGGGTATTTGTGTGCATTCGCTGCGCTGGTGTCCACAGGAACCTGGGAGTCCACATATCCCGGGTGAAGTCTGTCAACTTAGATCAGTGGACCCAGGAGCAGATACAGGTATGAGACGATCTCAGGTAAATGTTTTGTTTTTGCAGGGTTGGTGTGATAAGTCATTAATTTCTCATCTTTTTTTATTTCATCTTTTAATCAGTGCATGGAAGAGATGGGAAACGGGAAAGCAAAAAGACTGTATGAAGCATTCTTGCCTGAAAACTTTATCCGACCGCAGACGGATCAGTATCCTTTATTTTTTTCGGTTCGAAGCAAAACTTGCTGATTAGAGAAAGTAATGGGACATACCGTATTGACTTGTATTGTATTATGTGCCTTGTATTCAGGGCTTGAAACATTTTAGGGTGTTTCACCAGTCAGCATGACCGGACTACAGACTTGCAATTTATGTTAACATTTTTTAGGGACACGGAGAGCTTTCTTTTGGAGGTATATAATCACCACTGGGGGCAGTTTATTTTTTACTGTATAATGAAAAAAAGTACCGTACATTTCGGGGGAAAAAAGTTTTCCCTACGTTATGTAAAACATTTATTCCTACCCATATTTTTAGTAAAATATAAAAGACGGGGTCACGTCAGGTAAATAGACACCAAACGTGTCAAGCCTTAAAATTGCACGCGCCCACAAAATCGCAAAAACAACCAAACCGAGAATTGGCCACAGGTGACGCTTTAAACGCTTTTACTGCTCATCAGTTTAGTTTTATCAGCGATTGATTAACGGCCCTAAAATATTGCTCACACTCACGGTGATATGTAACATGTGCGGCACAATAGGTGCAATTGTCGTTTTTCGCACGTAGGCGCACCCAACGCATGTTTGCGTGTGTATGTGGGGGACTTTAAAAATTAATTTTAGTATTTTTTTATTACATTTTTTTTTTTATAGCTCCCTATGTGATTGCCAATTTAAATGACAGGTCCTCTTTAGAGAGACATCAGGGGTCTCCAAGAACCCTAATGTCACCTATGGATCCCCAGCGAAGCTAATGAAGCAGATCTGCTTCACCAGCTTCCCCCATGCTTCTGTAGCTAGGAATGACAGCTGAATGCGGAAGTGATGTAATATACAACACTTCCTGCATTCGGGGGGCGGAGAGGAGGTCAGAGGGAGATTGTGTACTGAACTCCTGTGACAGAGCTTTGGGCATCTCTAGAGACGCCCATCGCTTGAATGTAAACAGCCATCCAAGAAGCTCCCGGCCGGCCGTTTAATTACAACGGGCGGCTGGGAAGCTACTCGTCCGGCTCCGGCGTCCTCCCGCCAGACGAGAGGATGAGTGGATTTTCAAGCCCTGCTTGAAAATCGAGTCACTGAATGACTTGTATTTTGTAAACCATGTATTTTGTGAATGGTTTACAAAATACAAGTCATTCAGTGAATGGACAAGGCCATAGGTAGGGAGGATAAACAAGAGTATGGCTTCTGTGTATAAGAGCCACAGCGCTCATAGTCACAGTATCGGAAATATAGCGCTGGCTGTACTTTCTGACAATGGCATTTTTACAGTACACAACAGTGATGTACTGTACACTGAACACTGGATGTGGAGTAAACATCAAGTGAGGTAACTTTTTTTTTTTTCCCATACTATGATTCACAAAGAAATACCTGCCTAGAGTTCTGCTTTGATACTCAAAGAACGAGAATTGAGAATCTGCCATGTAGCATAAGGAGTAGCGTGGCCTGATAAATCTGTATGACTCAGCTGGTAACTTTGCCTCTTTGCATGCAGCACTCCCCCTACTTGATGCAGTGATGGCCTCATTGTATCTGATAAGAACTGCTATGGGTGTTAAGGTGATTGGCCACCCATTACATTGATAGCAAGTTAGGATGACTCCTCACATTCAGCCACTAGTACATTTTTGCAGGCAGTATATATGGAAGGAGTGCTGGAATATTCCGCACATTTAAAGTTTTAGATAAGATTAGGAGTATCAGCAAGGTTTCCTTTTGTCCGGGTCTCTCTGGGGTGATTTCCTTTCACTTCCTGTCCCAGATATAGCTGTTTCATGCTGTAGACTGTAAAGACGAATCTTGCATTGATCAGGGCAAAGTAGCCAGAAACAGCTATAAGCAAGTTGGTAATTCTGGCTCTGTACAATGATGGCTATGGGGCTGAAAGGCAAAAAGGAATTATTTACATGACTCCTCCAACTTACCCATAAACAGTGGCTAAGCACCTTATATTTGGGATAGGTGCTGGAAGTGAAAACGTGGAATACCCTCTGTTATAAGAAGGCAATGCTGTGCCTATGCTTTTTAAGGGTACTTTTATTGCTAGAGACTTTTCTCATTCACTTTTCTAGCCAAATTGGCTGCTGCAGAACTACAAATCTTATTGTAGCTCTTCCGGCGCTTGTTCTATGACATGGAGAATTACATTGCATAGTTCTGTTCTTTATGTGCCACTCATAGCAGCGTATCTCCCTTTTTTCCACACTCCAATGCTTACATAACCAATATTAGAGCTGATTAGCATCTCTTTGGTCCCTGTACTACTACAAGTCCCTAGCATGCCTCTTGCATCCCTCCATTCTTTAGAACTGTAAAGTCTGGTATACCCTATTTGGCACCTTCCTCTGTAGAACTACAAATCCAAGAATACCCCAGCGACATCTCTTCAGTATCTAGAATGAGAAGGCCAGTATGTCCCACGGGCTCTTTCGCTGCAATGTTTAGAATTGTAACTGATCGCTGAATGCTTGTACTCCTCTCTCCATCCTGACTGCTCTGCCTGTCACCGGAGCCGTAACTCTCCACCTGCACCGCCCCACTCAGCCTCACCTCCTGACAGCTGTCTCTTCCCTGCACCTCCACACTCGCCCTCCTGATGGCTTATCTCCTCCCTGCTGGCAGCTGCATCGGCTCTGTGTCCCCTCTGATCACCTCTGCCAACACAGGCAGGGGAGAGCAGCAAGGGTCGGAAGGGGCACAGACTGGCGCCCAGCTAGGAGCAGAGAAGCTGGGGATGCAATGCATTTTGGACTCTTTTAGTACTATCAGCATTTTGTCCATAGTACCATTTGTGGCTGAAATTTTGGTGCTTCCTGTTTACATATATATTGGGCTCAGCAACCCCCAAACATTGCAAATTCCAACATAAATGCCTAATCTTTAGATATAAACGCTTTCTCTTCTTGCTGTTTACTCATGTTCATAATAAAAAATATATTTGTGTCTTATACTTACAAAAACACTGAGGAGCCTATCTCTCTAATGCTGTCCTGGAAGGTTCCTAGAAACAGAGTTACCAGGTACGTAACTCCAATTTTTCCACTGTGTGTTTTAATGTGTATTGTAAGCTATCAAAAGTATGCCATCATATATAGCATGGAAAATCATAGTAAAGACCACTGTGAAGGAAATGCCAGTAAACCAGGAGGTAACTATTTATCCGAAGCATGCCTTGAGCACTCCACTGCACAGCACATTCTTATACCATTGAGAAATCCATAAAAACCTAACAAGGGCCTTAAGTGGGGAGTAAAGCATCATCCCACACATCTTCCTTGATGTTTTGGAGGTAAACAATTTATTAGAACATGTGCCTATGGGTGATTGGTCTATTGTTAGTTATTGTGTGTGTTGCATCTCCATATCTACCCTTAACATGCAATCTACAGAGCGGTAGAAACCTTTATTAGAGAGAAGTATGAAAAGAAGAAATATTTGGATCGCAGTATAGACATCAGTGCATTTAGAGTAAGTATTGATGTAAAACTTGTACAGTTTAGTTCTTACTCTGCGGCCGGGTCGGTGAACATAATACATATACATCTTAGGGCTCATTCACATGGGCATTGACAAACCTGCGATTTATATGTGTTTATAGGACATTTCTAAACTTCTATAAATGCACGTAATGATTTTCAGTGGTATATTTTACATTGTGCATTTACCTGTGTTTAAGTGCGCTCAGTTTAGCAGTGTATAGAAGGGGCATATTGGATGCTGCAAAGGAAAGTACATTTAAACGCAGGAAAAAATGATCTTTGAAGCATAAAGTCTGTTTATACTTGCCAGATAATTTCCTGTGTGTTTAGGGGCCAATTTACACCATCCAGTGCGTTCATGGTACAGTTCCGTGACATGAACGCACTGCATGGCATAATCAAAGCTGTACTGGGGCGTGGTGGTGCCATTTCCCCCCCCCCCCCCCCCCCCCCCCTCACCGGAACGCGTGGTACAGCAATGCCTTGTTCCAGTGCTGTGCAATCGCAAAAAATAGTGCATACACCGCGGGTGGGAGGCGTGTCTGCGGTCTCATTGAAAACAGATGGTATCACAACACCCCAGAACGCGGGGAGGCTTTGATTATGCAATCCAGAACTGTGACATGAACACACTGGTGTAAACGGGCCCTACAGGAAAAGGTATTTGGAGAGTGAAATGTATTCTTCCCACTATTTTTGAGCCGGCATGTGACCTTGTCACTGTCGCACTTTGCCTCACAAACCACGGATCTTCTCCCATAGACACCCCTTCTCCCTTTCTCCAGCACTCATTGGAGGGTCAGACAGGGGAGGGGGCTGGCACAGAGGTCAATCAGGCAATGGGGTGGATGCCAACAATATTGTCATGATCCTTCCCGGTTGCAGTGCGGCTCTGTGCTGTCACTATTTAGCGGGCAGTAGTCTGCTATAAGCACAGGAGGACATTAGTAAATATACTCCTGTGACCCAAAAGAGAACTAAAGCCAAAAAAAGGTTTGGCTTTAGTTCTCTCTTAAATAATCTAAAGGTGTGATGCTAGTGTTAATGTAGCCTTATGTTACTGAGGATATTCACAGGAGCTGCATGCGGTTGACTACTTTCAAATGGAGAGCCTGGAGGGTTTCAATGACCAGTTACATGGGTATAGTTAAATACACTTGTAAATGTTCCTTTTCCATACTCCGAACATGTACTTTGTTGAATGAAGTCTCAGTTTACATACTAACTTGCAGGTAACTAATAGTACACCATGGCCTAAGCCAGTTAACATGCACAGCCTGGGTTGCATCCAAGAGCCCTGGCTGGATCCTGGAGCAAGATTACATTGTGTGGTACCAAAAGAGCCAATTCAAATTCAGCAGCTGCTTTAATGATTTATTCAAATATATAAAGGTTTGTTGTATACATTGTATTCATAATTCATATCTCTTGTTTAATTATCTATGAATTGATTTGCTTATTACCAGCCCATCAGATCATTATGTCTATTTTGAATGGAGTTGTACCTTTCTGGAAATGTGTTCACTACTTTAGCTGGGTAGTTGGTATTCTAACGTCAACTTTTATTGTAAGGAGCTTGTCAGGATAGAAAAATGGAGCTGCTGTTGTTGACTTGTTTGTGCACCTCAGCTGCCCCGAGGTTGACCTGGCCACATATTTGTTTTAGCTTAGTGACTGGTTGGCAGTGACAGAGGTGGAAGCTTCCAAATCCACGATGCTAGGTCCCATATTTCAGTTCTGACAAATCTACATACACGAGTTTGAGCAAGTTGATGAATGTAAAGTTTAATGAAAAGAACAGCTATAGGACATAGAATGCTATGACACCGTCAGTGTATTGACTGTAACTTCTGATGATGAAAGACCATGTGACTACATTAGGCACAATCCACCAATTGCCTCTGTGTAGTCTGTAAAGTATCTACTTACAGTATGCCATCTGTCACAGCAGTCTGCAGCTTAAACAGTTAGCAGTGATGCTCATCTCTGAAAATGGACTCTTCCGCAAGTGTCAAAGCCTCTGATTTCCAGACTTTCTGCAGGTGGCCACCTCCTGGCCCTATGTTGTTAATTTCTTACTCCTGCTGCCAGAAAATATCTCAAAAGAATTGCAAGCTAAAGCTGCTGTAATTACAAAATGGCATACAATGGCTTCACTATTGAGTGGCATTCACTTCCAATCTTATGAGATTTTACTTGTGGCAGGAGGAGGAGATTGATTACGAATGGGTCAGAGGAGGGAGAGGGTGACTGCGGACAGCCTGGAAGTCAGAAGCTTTGACGCTTCATAGATGAGCAGTGCTGCTAAATCTGGTTAGGGTGCACAGCAGTGGATCAGGGTATTATGAGTAGATACGTTAGAGTGCACATATGTAATTGGTGAACCATGCCAAGTGTGGTGACTTGGTCCCTTCAATGCTACCTGTTAGTGACTGAATTAATACATTGCTATCAAACACTGGATTGCAAACTTGAACGCCAGTCAAGAATTTGGTATAGGAAAAATATCTGTATTTTTAAACAGAAAGAGAGAGAAAGCAAGTGGAAGAAATCGGAGTCTGCTCCTGACATAAAATCGGAGCCCATCGTATTTGAGAAGGTTAAACTGGTAAGTGTATTATGTCTTCTATGACTTGTAATTTAAAAGTCAAAGATGAAATCGGTTGTGGTTATAATAATAATGGTGGTCCATGGTGGTACACTAATAGTCTATTATAACAATGCTTTGGAGTTTATTTTCTAAAGGAGTAGAGCATGATCACTTTACAAAGTGAATTATTGCTTTGTTTACTAAATGAGGTGAAGCTAAGTGAAAATTAGGGATGCACCGACACCAGTCCAGATACCAATGCCGATACTTGGCATTTTCACGGGAACTACCAGGGTTGCAGCTGGGATCTAGCTCTGGCGCTTCACCACTGTCCTGAAATCATTAGTCTGTATCGTTTTAGGAAAACTGTCACATGACAATTAACAAAAATGTGTCAGTACTTGTATCTGTGAGCACTCGGGCAAGTACCAGTACTCGTACTTGTAAAACTGGTATCGGTGCATCCCTTTTTATATATGTTTATAAAAACAAAATCCTACATTAAAACAGATGTACAAATCCCAGGAGCTCTGTGTGCTCCCTACAAATGACAGCTGCCTCCTAATTTTTGAGTTTTTTCTCTAGTCTAGTCTAGAAAAGTACCTGTACATGTACAGAGTATGGTACTTGGTATCTGAACATCCCTAGTGAAAATATTTGCAACGATTACCCAGTCATGAGTAAGGGGGGGGGGGAAAAACATTTAGTTTGGACATGATTAGATGTTTGAAGTAAACACAGCTTTATTTCATAACTAAAATTTCACTTTGCAAAGTGAAAATGTGCTACTCCTTTAGTAAATCAACACAAGTGCCTTCACTTTTATCCTGCTAATCGCATGTGTGTGTGGGTGTCCTCAATAAAATGGCACACCTTGTTTCCTTATCTGTCACTTTCTTACCTACATGTTTATCTTAAAGGATATCTAAAGGTACCAGCATTATATTATGCATTCAGAACACTCATTGAGAAATAAAGACCAAGGCTTTCTTATTCTGCTCCAAAATATGTTCTTTCTAAAAACACTGCCTATCTCTGCTTCTTCTGAGTAGCATGTTCTGCTTATGTTGCCTTTGGGTCATATCAGTCCAGGTCATCTCCCACAATGCCTTGTGCTACATGTCACTTGCACTGGGCTGTAGGAGAAGCTGGGAAAGTAGAGAGGTGGGTGGGACATTAGGGAGGAGGGGGTGGGGCCGTGAGGGAGTAGTGAAAAAAACAGTGTACTAGTTCCTGAGCACAGTGCATGTGTGACTACAGTGGGAGATATTCGGAAGACAGAATGAAATGTGCACACATTCTGCAAGCATGTTCTCGGTATGGATGTAATCTGCCATTAAACATGTGCAGTATGTATTACCTCTGTTGGCAAATGAAGCTCAAACTCTTAACAGTTTACATGTGTAAACCTTCTGTTGCCCTGTCTCTTTAGCCACAAAAAAAGGATGAAGTTCAGGCTCCCAAGGTGTCTCCACAGAAGCCAGCTGAACCTGTCATGGATCTGTTAGGCCTTGGTGAGAAGCTGTTACATAATACTAACTGACATCTGCATGCTGTATGTTTTCTGTTGTGTTTCCATTGTGAAATCTATATGAGCCTAGCAAGGCAGAGATTGTGTACGAAAATATAAATCAGAATTTACATATTTATATTTTGCAAAATTAGTAGAGTCAAAAAATAGGTTTGATTTAACACGGGAAGCTTCAGGTTTCTTAAAACATTTTTTTTTTTTAAACAATCTGGAGTAACACTCAGTTGGAATTTAAAGGAAAACGATAATGGTTTAGAACAGTTGTTCTCAACCTGTCTAACCTCAGGACCCACATTTGTCCTCTGTCATTAAGTCGTGACCCAAGTTACACTGCAATGGAACACTCGGCAGTGTGGGCTGCTGTGCACTGATGGAGCTCCATCCACATGTGCATTGTTTGTACAGCTCCTATGCACACCTGTAGAGGTTCCGGGAGCCAGAATGTGATGTCACTCCGGTCTAGGAACCTCCACAGGACATGCAAGGGAGCTATAAGCAATGCACTTGTGGATGGAGCTAACTTGTGGCTATCCCCCGAGCCCACCTCAAGTCGAACGGACAGTGCTGCATTAGGGGGCGCCTCTCACCTAGAAAAGTGGAAGGCACACTGCGACCCACTGAACATGGGGTCGTGACCCACTTTTGGGTCATGACCCACTAGTTGAGAACCAAGGGTTTACGGTATGTTTTTTTTTTTTTTATCTTTCTTTCTTCTACATAGTTTTACTATTCATATAAATACCCTAATTTCTCTTCCCTCTAGGGTAGTTTGGGTTTTTTAATAAAGGCTTGCTTTTACACTAATCCTGCACAGCTCCTAAAGAAATTCATTAGTGTTACTATATATGTTTTTATTAACGGCTCAAAATAGGATTTTAGTAATTTTTTTTTATTTTTTTAATTGAGATAAATGTAACATTGCATATGAATGTCCAATATTTACTTTTTCTAGCCAGCCAGTGGAGCACTAGTCTCCTTTCACATGTATACCAGGCCATACTTAAAGCCCATTTCCACCTGTGTAAGGGATTAGCATTTACTGTGGTAATGTAGAGGTGCAGTGATAAGTGTATATGTGTGCATGTTTTCATGACTCACAATGCTGGCGTTTTACATTTAAAAAAAATACAAAGAAATTTAAGGACTTTTTAGTAGACCTGAGTCGATTTGAAAAAAAAAAATTCTAGAGGAAACTTGAGTCTGACACTGGGTTGGATTGTAAAGCAGCTGACCCCCTCCCTATGAGATCACTGCACTCCAGCGCTGCCTTTCCAGGTCACAATAGACTGTCCAGGGGGTGTTGCCACTATGAATACTAATGACTGGGTGGGGGGGAGAGCTCAGAGAGAGCGTTAGTGACATTAAACTCAGGAGTTGAGTCTTAATGCGTTCAAGTACCTGCACTATTAACAAAATGTTATCTTTGTGTATCGCTCAACTGTAGATCCTCAAATCATCTCTGAATTTGTGCTGACACTGTCCTTCCTCCAAGCAGCTGTTCCTTCCTCCAAGCTTGCTCTCATAATAAGACTATAATCTCAATACAAATTCGTAATCTAAACATGAGATTGTAGTCCGTCATGGAAGCGGGCTTGGAGAGGTGTCTACTTCACAACACACACAGGGACCATGGGGAACAAGAGTAACCACCCTCCAGAAGGGAGGACAGTGTCAGCACCAATTCAGAGATGATTTCAGAGGTGATTTGAGGATCTACAGCTGAGTGATACACAAAGAAGATACATTTTTGTTTATAGTTAGGGTACTTGAATCCATTTTTAAGGTTTAACTCCTGAGTTAAGTGTCACTTTTAATAAACAAAAACTGCTTGTAGAGCACAGAGATGGCCATATCAAGAGGCGGACAGCTAGCAAAAAGTAAGTTTGTGTTCATATACAGCAACTGAAAATGCCTGCTTTAAGTACACTTGTTGTACAATGCTGGCATGTTTTTAGTTTTTTTTTTTAAATAAATACCCCCACAAAGCTGGAAATGGGCTTTATAGTGTACCTGTGCCCAGATTATGCACATGTAAAGTATTAACATATTCTTAATAAGCACCTTTGTAACTAAAGGCATTGTGGAGACAATCGTCAAACTTAACAAGAAAAAGGAACTGATATATTGGCTCCGCAGGGCAGGAATACGGTGACTTGTTGCCCAGTTTTATTGAGCCCTAGATATTTAGTAATTATTGTTTACTTGTTTTTCCTAAAAGAAGAATAACTGAACCTGTTAATCTTGAAAACCCTGAAATATCTAATTTTCTTGGTTGGTAATAGTAAATAATTTGCGGCTTTTCCATTGTAATGTATTTACTTTTAGATTCTCCAGTTGCTATTACTGTTCCTAATGGAAAATCAAACACCAGCTTGGAGAAGGAATTGGACCTTTTTGGGCCTACATCAGGTTCTAAACCCAGCCAGGTAAGCCTGATTGCAATGAGAAAAATAAATGCTCTAATTCTAGCAAATGCGTCACTTAATATTCTGTTGTAACTCTTGTAATAGACTTTAAGCAGGGGTAGGTAAAATATGTTGCCAGCATGAACTGAAACGATCCTATAGTGCTTTGTCATCTAATTGCCTGAGGTTGCATTCCAGAGCATTTGGCAGGCAAGTCTTTAGCTCACTTTGTAGCCACTATGCATTTTTGCTGACCTTTTTGCTAAGTCTTTTTGTTTTCGGTTTTGCTGCTGGAAGGAAAATATTAAGAAGAGCAATCCATTGTATTATTGTATATAAAGTTGTGTTAATGCAGCATGCTGTGAGTTCTTTTTTTTTTTTTGTCATGGTTAATGTGCTTTTAGTTACTATATTGGCTTTATTTACATAAAATGTAATCATGATTATATGCTTTAAGGTGCATCACCTCTGTTTCCATATTTTACTAGTTTCCCCTGATCCCTTCTTTGGCAGGCTGTCAGGTTGTTGAGTGTAATTAAATGACATGATATCAAATAGGTTTTTGGTTTGTAATTTTGTAATTTTAAAGAAAATCTTTCAGGGCTAATGATACACATTCTGAGAGAGATTTATTACAAGGATAAAGCTTGAGTCATGAATTCCTCCCTTCGCTTCTCTTAAGTAGCACTGCAACAGAATAAAACCTGACCCTGATCACCTCATAACTATGCTTCTTTTTAGAATGAAATCTGCTACATATTTATTAAAAAGACACTAAACTCAGGAGTTAAATCTTAAAAATACATTCAAGTAACTTATCTATTAACAAAAAATGTCAGTTATTTGGCTGAGGATCCTCAAATCATCTCTGAATTGGTGCTGACACCGTCTTTACTTCTGGAGGGTTGCTGCTTTTGTTCCTCATGGTCCCTGTGTGTGTTGTAAAGTAGTCACCTATTCAAGCTCGCTCCCGTGATGGACTACAATCTCACATTTAATTTATCCATTTGTATTGAGATTGTAGTCCATCACAGGAGCGAGCTTGGAGGGATGGCTACTTTACAATACACACAGGGACCATGGGGAACAAAAGTAGGCGCCCTACTGAAGGAAGGACCGTGTCAGCACCAATTCAGAGATGATTTGAGGGTCCTCAGCCAAATAAGATACATTTTTGTTAATAATGTACTTGAATGTATTTTTAAACTTCTGAGTTTAGTGTCACTTTAATAAATGTGTCACTTGACTTCCCTGAAATAGACACAGGGCTCTGGAAACCTGTTGCAGAGACTTTTCTGAAGGAAAAGCGGCCTGATTTGCCACTAATTTTGTTTGATGTCCCCTTCTGTCTCTTCTGCAACAAAAAAAGGCTTCTTACCTTACTGCTAGTATGATTATATTCTGCAAAAAATGCTTATAAGCGGCCAGATGCTTATCTCAGCTTTGTCTCATCCGCCATGCAGGCCGGCAGTTCCATGCCCTTAACTGGAAGTTCGGGATCTGTGCCTGAGAATCTCAACCTGTTCCCAGAGACAAGTGGGAAACCAGCCGAAGGTACCAAGAAGCAGCTTTCCAAGGATTCTATCCTATCCTTGTATGGCCCTCAGACCCCTCAGATTCCAGCCCAAGGTATGAACCAACAAATAGAATATGCGACAAATGTAAACTTTATTGTGACTTGGTTATTATGTCCACACGTCAGAATTTTCAAATGGTCAGACTAACTAGCTACACATACACTAACATAAGTTTCACTGACCTTCTCTACTTTTGTTTCCTCAGGAGGCCTCTTCATGGCACCAACACAAATGGCATACCCAAGTGCTTACACTGGATTTCCAGCTGTTCCGTCTCCTGGTGGTGTAATGGGTGGTATGATGGCCTCGCCATTAGGCATCGTGACTCAGCCAGCTCACCCTGGCATGGTTGCTCCCATGGCTGTTCCAGCTGGATATGTGGGTGGAATGCAGGCAGCAGTCATGGGGGTCCCGAATGGAATGATGGCACAGCATGCAGGTTGTGTGACTGGCATCAGTGCTGTGGCGCAGCCAATGTACGGTATGCAACCAGGGCAGCAACTCCAATGGAATGTCGCTCAGGTAAACTATGGCAAATGATACTGGTTTTATAGAGTAGAAAACTGCCTAATTAGGGTGGAACACCAGCCAAAACTTTATTTGGAATAGCATGTAAAAGGATTAAACCTCTGTTTTCTTTTATTACTGTGTGTGTATGTATGTATGTATGTGTGTATATATATATA